ACACACATATATATATATATATATATATATATAACATTTTAATTAGTAATAATGATAATAATAATAATAACTCTTCTTACCATCCATACTATAATTTTATTGTCAGTTAAATTATCAAGTTTAAAAAAAAACTGCATAAGTTGTGCATATTGATTTACATATATAAAATAAAAAAAAAAAAAAAAAAAAAAAAGTATATGTATAGAACAAATCACCATTGTCAATTTTGCTTTAAGACTGCAAATAAAAGTGTAAAAGCAGGACAATTTTGTATTGTGGATAATGAAAACTAATAACTAATGGGGTTGTGTGGAATAATGCTAAAACGATCGGTTTGTGCGAGAAACCGAACAGTATTTATATCATAGTTTACCTCTAATACACCACTATGTCCAACTGCTTTGAACACGCGCTCTGGCGTTGTTTACGCAAGCGCCGGAAGTGATCTCTCGCGCGTATACGTCACTCATTGTTTACACAGTGCACAGTCATTGTAGGTACGACGGCTAATCAAAATGGTACTTACTTGCGCTTATCCGGATTGTTCAAACCGACTTAAAACTAAAAGATTACTTTCTCTCGCGCGAACTCATTCGGGAGTGGTGACTTTTTCCACGTATTCCCAACTTCTGAGCCTGCTCGCCTGAAGTTATGGTTGATTGCTCTTCGTCTGGATATCAACACACCCATTAACGTAAACTACGCCAGAGCATGTACACACCTCACGCACAGGATGCCGTACGCGCGCTCAAAGCAGTTGGACATAGTGGTGTATTAGAGGTAAAATATGATATAAATACTGTTCGGTTTCTCGCACAAACCGATCGTTTCGTGTCTTAGGACATCAATGTGTCATCACGAGCCGCAGGGTTTAATTTGGATTTGACTGTGCATGTTTTTTTTACTCTCATAGATTTTGTTACCATTGCCATGCATTATACGACTGATAGACTGCAACGGCTGGAGTTAAAAATCTCCGTTTGTGTTCTACTGAAGAAACAAAGTCACCTACATCTTGGATGCCCTGGGGGTAAGCAGATAAACATCAAATTTTCATTTTTGGGTGAACTATCCCTTTAAATCATAAACCTTAAAACTAATGAGAGATAGTGTTTGGTATGAAATAACAGCGGTTTAAAGATCTGAATATCTTCAATTTTCTTAAACAATAAACTAAATCATAAATACATATTTAAAAAAATAAAAACAGACTGAATGAGAATACATTTTTAGCCACAGATTCATTCAGACTTCAATAAACACTGGTCTCTTTGATTAAGAAACTACCAAAACTACCAGACAGAATAAAATACATTGCTGTCTGACTAACAAACTAACAGCTACAGCTGCAGGATGATAAAGACATGGACTGTCTTTCCCCTTATATAATGCTTTTCTTGCTTGTTTTTCACCCTACGCCCAGTTTATAAGACATGCTATTTATTTTCCATCAGATTCTCTGCACCACTGTCCAATGTTTCACACAGCAAGATCCATTTTATTCAATGAGATGCCACAACACAATTTGGCCGTTGACAATCCTAGCAAAAATTGAAAATTAACGTGTAGCGCTTTAAAATTTCTTGCTTTAAAGGCAGTGAACGGATCCCTCCGTGCATCTACACAGTTACACAGGTGTGCGAAGACGCACACATTCACACACACTCCGAGTGATTTGACCTATCAGTATCTGTGACAGTTGCTCTCCGGGGATAAACTCCAGGTTTCCCCAGTGGGAGCGAGAGACTGTCTACCTGTCATGCAGCGTTTGGGGTTCATGCAGCCTGGGCAGCGTTTGTTTGTCACTGCAGAAAACGCCTTTAAGGTCAGTAGTCACTGGGATGATTAAAAGAACAGGAAGTTAAATGTGTACAATGAAGCGAGAGTGTCAATGTTCTCAAATCAACACTTAGACCGAATTAGGTCTTTCAGTATCTCCTCCGGTCTGCCCCAAGGCTGCGATAAGCTTGCAACATTTGTCCATAGGGGGCGTTGCAGGGCATGCAAAGACCAAAGACCCTGTCAAATTGGAAATACATCTTATTTACTTGGTGACTGAAGTTTGGTTTGCCAGTGTTCAAATAAGGGGTCAGCCGTGAACTAAATTCACACACACATAAGGAAGTATCACACCAAATGTCCGTCACATGAGACACCAGCCTTTAGCATTGGGTCACTTTTTTTTTTTTAAGGAGACTTTATCAAGTATTAAACCCAAAGCACATAGCTCTGTGAACATTGAATCAACGCCTACAGAGTTAACGGCCAAATCACCCGAGGTGAATAGTCGGTTTTAAGTGGCGACTTAGCTGTGTGATATGGTGTAAATTATAGTGCACTTATTATCTGTAGCTCGGGCCTCGAATACTCATTATAGCTTTTGCTGACCTGCATCCCAACTGATGCAATCCCTGTTACCATCAGCCTCTATTAATAACGGCCCTAAATTAACTTCCTGTAAACTCTTTCTGAAAGACTTCGCTTTCAGTTGTGGAAATTAGCGCTTTCAATGAAAGTGCCCCTTTAGGCGAGCGCCAGTGTGACTTTACGGTAATAGGTTAGCGAGATTTAGACGTTTCTAAGCTCGCTGCAGGAGTCTTATCATGTCATATGTTCAAAGCACATTTTAAACAGAATCTCTGATGTTTTAGATCAGGGGTGTCCAATCCTGCTCCTGGCAATCGACTGTCCTGCAAAGTTCAGCTCCAACTCTAATTAAACCTGCCTTTAATTTTCAAGTGGTCCTGAACACCTTAATTAGTTGCTTTAGATGTGTTTGATTAGGGTTGGAGCTGAACTTTGCAGGACAGTCGATCACCAGGAGCAGGATTTGGCATCCCTGTTTTAGAATATACTGGACTTGTTGAATACAACTTTAATGTGGTCAAACATGAGAGAAATGTTCTGCTGTCACGATTTTTGAAACCGTCTACCTCTTGTGAGCGTTTGTTGTGACAAGGTCAGACCCACCACAGAGCAGAGCCAAAATCTCTGACAAAACCACACATCTACACAACAAAGTTTGACACGTCCGAAAACGAGTAGGCTATTGCACAGCACATGAACAGTTTTGTTTGTTTTTTTGTTTTTGTGAAAGTCGTTGCTCCTCCCTACGGATGGGATGGGCTGAACAAAGCTCTTCCAGAGGGCAACTCACCTAAAGCCTCAGCTACTAGTAGATAGTCTTCTGAAGAAGTACGAGAGTATTACAGAGGAAAAGTCACCACTTAAAAATTGTCCTTACATTCTTTCATTAGAAGTTTACATGGGGATTGTGTACTTCATTTCATATTCACAAAATGGTGTTCTCTTTTTTTCTGATTATTCTCTTCATATCTGTTTGACTTCCAGAGCCTCTAACAATGCGCAGGGCTGTATAAAACCTAGAGGGTTTTAAAGAAGGTCTCTAGCTGTTTGGTGTCAGCCATTAGGCTTATGGATGAGGGGATTGGAGATGCACGTCGAGACGTCTGTGTAAATCGGGGTCTGGTGGTGGGGTAGAATTAGCAGGTGTTTTGACAACGAGGCCTTTTATCCTCTCACAGGCATTGCTGATCACAAGTAAATTGGATCAAATGTGGAATCGAACCGGGAACTGATGAAGCCCGTCAAATTTGTCCGAAATGACAAATGGCATCATGCAAACCTGCTTTAATCCATTTGTTTCCCTTGGATTTTGCCCCAAATTCCGTGTCCGCTCGAGTCCCAAGTAGTTAGACGGCGGAAGCTCATACTGTGTTATCTTTAGCATTCCAAGGTCCAAAACTGTTGTCCTTATTTTACTGACAGGGAGGCAAATCCTCTGAGCAATGTCCCTTCTTCTATCATCAACGGAAGGAAGCTGTGGCTTCGAGGGTCTGTACAGCTAAATCATAAATCAAAACCGTTCCGTCAGACGTGTAGTATTTACATCACTGTACATTAAGAAAAGAGTTTCCTATGAAAAAAGACAAATGTAAGAAACACCCTTCAGGGCTTAAAGAAAGGTGAATGTTTTATTTTCTGTAAAGTATACATGTTGAGAATGTATGTCCCTTTTATCCTCTCACAGGCATTGCTGATCACAAGTAAATTGGATCAAATGTGGAATCGAACCTAGGCGGACGACAGGTGAATCACAGGTAGATTTCTCTTTTGGAGCCTTGGCTGGAGGGTGTAGTGGCAGGGGCGTAATCGGCTGTCTGACTCAGGGGGATCTCCTCCCTGGGGCAGTCCTTGCTGGAGTCGCCGCCTGTAGAATAGGCACTAGTGTAGGGAGGCAAAAAGCGAATGCTGGCCACTTTGTTGCTCCCGCCTCCGCTCCGCTCCTCTCCGTGAGGCTTAGAGCTGCTGTCAGCCATCAGGCGCTCCTGACCCTCCCTTTCCTGGTAAGGCACGAAGGTGGAGAGCTTGGGCCCGCTCTTGGCACTCTTGGTGTGGTTGGGTGAGGGTTGTCCAGGCATCCAGCAGGAATCCGAGTGGCCGTATTCTGTACACTCGTGTGTGCATTTTCCCGTCATGGCCACATCAGGTAGAGGCCTCAGATCTGGAACAAAATAGAATATAATGATGAGATAATTTAAATAATAAATATATTTAAAACAATTTGTGCAAAAGGTGCATTTTTCAAGTCTAGGTAAACATTCTGTTTTCATAGTTTATGATATAATATAATATAATATAATATAATATAATATAATATAATATATTGTAGTTATTAATATTTCTGAAATATTACTTACAAAATGCATAAGTAATATGCATAATACCTATAATATTTACTAAATAGTGCTGACTCATTAGAGTCACTTCACAAATCGGAATACACAGGTTGTGCTATTTGCTTGCAATTCACAAAATTTTTTTTAAAAATTAATTATTTGTTTAGGAATTGGGATACACTGATTGCGATGTATGATTTTAATTTCACAAAAATAACAGATTCATAAGAGTAATTTGTTCAGGATTCGGAATACACTGGTTGCACCATATGATTTCAGTTCTCAAAAGAAATCAAGCCATAAGAGTCTTTTTTTCCCCTTTTTTTTAAGTGGTGCAATATCCTATTATTAATTACTTGATTCCTCTAGTCAACGTTCAAGGAAATTCATTGACTAAACCTGTTCAAATGATAAATTAAACAAATTACAGAACACTTTAAATGTAGCCCTACTATTGAAAAGCATAAATGAGTATTGACAATACAATTTTATTGTGAAGATTTACTTTTGCAGTCAATCAAAGCTTCACAAAAAAACTCTCCAGCCTATTCTCGCCCTTGTTCACTGTAACCAATCAGTGTAATGGATGCTAATCTTCACTATAAAAGGTTGGTGAAGCTGGATGGCATCACAAGAAGCAAAAATAACGGTCTGATCCGCAAAGGTCAAACTCTCTGTCTGGAAAATATAAATGCAAAAGCTGAGCCTAACCTTTCCTCTGAAAGTGACATTAGATTAGTTTGATGGTGTGCATGAGAAAAGGGGGCAGGCATAATGGCAAGTTCTCGAGGGGGAAACATTATTTCTCTAAATGTCTGAGCTCTATGAAAGGCCTGTGATTTGAGGCAGTGGACAACATTATTTTGTCCCTGGTATTTCACCATTATAGAAAACTCTTTACTTATTTTTTTTTACTTTTTAGTAAATAGATAGATAGATAGATAGATAGATAGATAGATAGATTCATACATATGAACTAAGCAATAAAACAGACACTAAGAGCCAAACTATATCTGGCCCCTTTTTACTCTTATATTTCGATTTTACTATCACTTAGGGAAGAATATTTAAAGTTGAGGCTCTGACAGACCAATAGAGACCTTCGTCTCTGGCACACAGCACCTGAATCCCTCTCTCTCCTTTTCTTATCTCCTTCCTTCGAGTTGGAGTTAACCTCAGGAGGGTTCCCGCTGAGCCATAAGGCTGGAGAGCCGGCCCTGCACCACTGCCCCTATCACCAATCACCTCCAATCCGGCTCTCTAGCACTTTTTTTTTTCAGCTAATTAGATTCCGCTGGCCCCTTGTCACCATAATAGAATGGAAATTATTTCCAGATGAGTATCTGACATTTGGTGCTGTCTAAAGTAAAGAGGAAAGATGTGTTAAGACAGGGCTCCTTGCATTTTTCAGCTCTTCTCTTCGGTGATGGAGGACTGGCACAAGAGATTTGCTTCGTGTCATTTTCATTCAACTGTCGTGCCCCAAGGGTGTGATATGGATGGAAATATACATACAAGGTTCAAGCTGTTTTCTCATGAATTCCATGTCCAATTGTGCAGCTGTCAAAATGTCCATTTGACCATTTCATTGTAGGTAAGAATGCCTATTTGACATGCAGGTGGAGGATTTTCATATGAAAGAGTCATAATGATTTGATCAAAATGACTAATGAATAAGAATTGTGTATTAGGGGATGAAAAAAATCAAATCTATTATTTGGTATCCACCTCACTAAACCCCTGCTATCAATCAGAGACAATTATTTCCTAATTATCTTCTATTTTATGCAGTTTATGTGTATTCAGAGTAGACACAGGGTTATAAATTGAATAAAGATGTCAACTGAGGGAAAGCAAGAGCAATATATATATCATATATACTG